AGTTGGAAAAAAGCCGTTATTTGTCCCATATACAAAAAGGGCGGTAGGCAATTCCCTGTTAGCTANGTCGTACATTTACGTGAGGATTGGAGACAAAGTATCAGCCAAAACCATACCCACTAGTGGAGTACCACAGGGCTCAGTGCTTGGTCCCTTACTGTTCCTCATTTTTATAGACGACTTGGCTGCCATCCTACGTTCGCCATGTTTCATCTTTGCAGATGATGTCAAGATCGCGGGATCAGCCAGTCGGCAGCAATTGCAGGATAACCTGCGTAGAGCAACGGAATGAGCAAAAGTATGGGACCTCCCACTGAATGCAGAGAAAAGTTATTTACTTTCCAGTGCTGATGAACAATTGTCAATCCAACAAGATGAAGGGGTTTTCACTGTAGGGATTGTAAGAACCAGCAGAGACTGAGGAATATCGGTGGCAGCAGATTTCCGCTGGGAGAACCAGTGTGTATTGGCTGCGGCGAGGGCGAGGAGAGAGCTGTTCAGGCTCGAGGCGGTACTGTCGTGTAGGAAACCCGAAGTATTTCTCCCCCTGTACAAAGCCATAGTTAGGCCGCACTTGGATTACTGCGTGCAGGCTTGGGCACCCTTCTAATAATAATAATGATAATGATAATAATAATAATAATAATGATATATTTTTCGGTTTACAGTCAGATTCATGCGAATGATGCACGATCAAAGCAGGCATGATAAAATTACAATGCCACCACATGAAACACAATCTAATGATCACACGAAAGTAAATCGGTTGTGGGAATCAGTTATAGTGCAAAAATGTTCAATGGAATGTTCCGTTGTTATAATGTTTCATTTGAAGATGTAGCGCAACACAGTTTCAACTTCAAGGTCATCACACAAATCGGAATGATACAATTTCACTGAAGGAGCACGGTTGTTCAAATGTCACAAAAATGAATGATATGTAAAAATTACAAAAGATTTCATTGTAAAACAGCAAAAAGATGAGGGAAAAGTGTTCTAGGATGGATAGAAGTGTTCCTATATACACGGAAACAATAGAGCCTCCTGAGCGCAGAACAAAATTACTGCTGTCAGTTGAGGGTGAAAATCTCACCAGTTTGACTCAAGAAATATAATATACTATGATACAAGTACGGCAAACCTTTGGTTATCTACTGATCTCTCCTATCAGGGTGGAATTCATCAACGAATTATTTCATTAGCGTAAAACAAGCCACAGGCACGAGAACTCATGTGCTTTATCGATGATATCTGGTATAATGAAATGCATCGAATGCGAGATGTTGAGGAATATGTTGAATTATATTATATCAAACAATCAAATAAAGAAGGTATACAAACTGTAGACTTTTCGTTTTAGGCGGCTGGAATTCTAGCCACCGTCAATTTAAAACATGGACAGATAAATTTAGGACAGGTATAAACTTTGACAACGATCACCTCACGGTTGAGTAAGCTTAGGCTTATTAGCAACACTTTAGCTAGGGAGGGCTAAAAAGCCCGCTGGTATTGCGTACATGGTTGAAATGGTGATTTACCATCGGTGTTTCGCATTATCGTCCTAGTCAGGGGCATCATAAAGATATATAGCTGTACACCTCTGTGAACCATAAGAATGGCTCGCTCCCTGTTTGCAGGGCTGATCAGTGAACAAGCGCTATCATTTGCACCTGTTATCCGTATGATTTAGGGTTCGTCTTACTATACAAAACCCTAGGAGACGTCACTGCCTAGCTTCCTGTGTTGGAGGTGTGTTGGCGTTCTTCAGTTGGTCCTGTAAAGAGATTGATAGCGTGCAGAAGCACTCGAATCAAATGAAAAAGGAGCAAATTTCAAGGGGAGTTTTGGTATACTCGTTTTGTTGAACCTCTTCCTACTCGTCGATGTCATTAAACCAGTTCATCACTAATATAGCAGCAAAGTAAACGGTCTGTGTCCATCGTTATACTAATGGCACGGAATGCCCCACCTTATAGTACGAAAACGTTTTAACTCTCATAAAATGGCTTAAAGTAGACTTCTGAGTGAGTTCGCAAAGAAACAAAACATATAAATAAAAAAATAAGAAACAAGTCCTGAAACTGCTGTGAAGACACGTAATGTGTTACTCGCACTAAAGTAATCTCAGTATTACCTAATCATAAACTTCTTGCTTAGTACAGAAAAAAGGTGATAGGACGATGTAAGATACGCATGGCGTTATACATATTGTTCTGACCTAAAAGGAAAACGTAAAGCTTCGGGGTTAGGTTCAAGATAACTTCAATGAATTTGCATCTCAATTTTTTGTTCACAAGCTTCTTTTTTCCAATCAGTATTGTTTCTAACAGCATAGCGGCCATTCTTGATATTCGTGAAAAAACATTTCTCCACTGGTGGTATTACATATCTTTTAGTAGCTAGTCGGAACACCAATCCAGCTGTGTATTATCGATCCCTGGGACATCGTGGATCATAATTTATTCAAACCTGGAAGGAAGAGAAAAGAACCCGATAGTCTGGGCTCTGTCCCAGCTGTTTATCAAAGAACATTATAAAAGAGGTGTTATGAGCAGTATAATTCGAACTCGGGGTCTCAGTTGACTGTTCATCGGAGAATCTGGCTGAGCACATAGAATATCTAGTAGCTTAGACCAGTTTCACATACTTGATCCTCTGTGATATAGGGATTCACAAACTGTATGAGATTTGGAACAGTGAGGTATTTATTAATTTGGATCTTGAAAGTTGACATATGTTGAATAGTACGTATGGTCTGAGGTAATTTGTTCCACAAAGCGGCGTACTTCACCAAAAAAATGTTTGATCTGATAGCGACCCTGGATAAGGAAGTATTGACCATGTGGTATCCATGTCTAAGGTAATAATGTGCGTCAGTATTATTCCTAATTTGTGGGACTGATTCAAGTGTCTTATGTTTTACGAGATTATAGAAAAATATCGGATTCAGCCTCATTCGTCTAAGCCATAGTGGATCGATATGAAGATTCTCATAACGTTGTTTATAACTCAGTTGACACGAACTCTCGGTACGCCTTTCTGTCAGGGACCGTTAGACGTTTTCTATCGCTACTCTATCGCTTTTTCGCACGTTAGAATAGATTATTGAGCAAAATTCTAACGATGGTCGTACATGGGTCTTATAAGCAACTGGTATGCTTTTCTTTAGTCGAAAGAACCTATGAAG